CTGAGGCGCGGGTGCCGCATATCTGATTCTTTGATACGCCACGACTCGGTTCGCTGCACTGGGCGCGGGTAAACGACGGGAGTAGATGTGCCTCTCTTAATAACGGGTGTGACGCGATAGAGCGCGCCTCGGTGAGCGACGCGGATGCGGCATATACGGATGTCCGCGAAGTTGGGGTTTTCCTTTTCAGAAACAACTACCCTTGAAATAACAAAGGTAATGTGTAGTGAAACGACAACGACCGAGTAAATAAAAAAATATTGGTGAAATTACTCTCTCTCCAGTTGACAGAAGGCTAAGTACGTCTCTGCCAGAAATCATACCGCTCCAACAGAAAATGAAATCAGCTGATGCGCTACCGAGCAGACGTAGGCTAACAAGGAAGGTAAAATGTTGCGTAAATAGTCTAGGTATTGCATCCCGTCCAATCGATTTGGGAGAATAAATTGTCCAATGAGCATACCGTTCACCATGCCAGCCCTATCATTCACCGAAAATGTTTGTTGAAAATGTGCCCGACGCGTGAACATAGATTCGTCTGTCACACGAATATGCACTTCAAAGAGTCCGGATTATTGTCATGTTGATGCAACAACTACTCACAAAACCGCACTCTTGCTGGAAAATCGTCAGGTTGAAGGGCTTGTACACGTTAGACGTGAACGGATACAGCCCCTCTTCACGCAGCGCTTGCCACACTTTAGTTTTTGATACTTGCACTTCTCTAGCCACGTCTCTAGTGCTCGTTGTTTTTTATTGAAACGCAATCGATTATACCGGTTCGTTTACCTCTACGCGCGTGACCGTGACCGTCGGTTGCAGGTTGCATACCGACCTGACACACTGACCCCGACCACCCAGTTCTGTCGTCGGGTTGTTCTAGTACCAGTCGGGGATGTCGCGGCTACAGGACGGTTTTCAGATACTTTTGATGTTGCAGCAACCGCGGGTCTCTAGTCTCCTAGTCAAGGTTCCAACTAGCGGGTGCCAACTGGGACCTTGGTCTAGGGTACCTGGTTTCTGCGGTTGCGATGCCTCTCGTCCGGATCGTAGTTCATGAGGAATCGTAGCTGCTCGTTAGGGTGGTCCTGAGCTTTCTGGAAGGTCTTCTCCGCTTTTTTCCTCATGTACTCGTGAATGGTGTCCCAATGCAGGTCTCTACGCAAGGTTGAGTTTCTTACGTAGGATGGATCGGTTGGTGGCGATCCGGAGTAGCTTCATCTCTAGAGCAGCGTACCCCCAGACCGCGGAGGCGTAAGCGAGCTGAGGTCTGGCGATGGCCTTGATCAGCCGTAGCTTGGTCGCTAGCGGCATCCGGCTGTGTCTACCCAGTATTGGGTAGAGTTGAGCCATGGCTGCTCTGGTCTTTGCGATGACAGCTTCTATGTGTGGTCTTTCCAGGTGAGGGACTTGTCAAATACGATCCCCAGATATTTGACCTTGTCGCTCCACTGGATATCTTCGTCGATGATGGATGCTTCGAGAGGGCTTGCAATCCTTCTTCGTTGGATGAAGATTGCCTGCGTCTTCTGGACGTTGATACGGATTTTCCATTTCACGCAACAGTCCAGTTCATCCTGTAGTCTGCTACGGATAATCTCGGGTCGTCGATGCTTACGGCGATAGCAATGTCATCTGCATATAGGGCACAGCATTGTGTGAGCTGTCTTCGGTACGTCATGAGTATAGATGTTGTAGAGCAGGGGGGACTGAGGCTGACTCCTGGAGCACGCCTGCTACCAGCTGTCGTAGTGTTTGAATGGCATGTACCAATCCTCACCGCGAACCGTCTTTGTGTTAGATAGCTCTGGATCAGTTGGCACATGTTTGCATCGGCGGTCCTGGCTGCTCTAGGACTCGTTCTTGGTGGCGGCAGCTGGCATCTTTGGCTGCCTTGGCGTCTCGTCTTCGGAGGAGGAAATTCGCACCCGCTTTTTTTTTTCCGTCTGGTGGCGACACTGAAATCGGTGTCGTCGTTGCTTGCTGTCTCTGTCGTGGTCCTATCCTCTTCGGTCCGTTGGGTGTCCTCTTCTTGAGCGTCCATCTCGTCCGACGTAGCCTGGTGGTCCTCTGCCTCGCCTTCTTCGGTCTTCTTTGCGGCCTTCTTCGTGGCCCTGCGGAGCTTCCCGTTCAGGTCCTCGATCTCCTGTTGTGCTTGCAAGAAGGCTTCTTGCAGGTTTCGCATCTGCTCTGCCAGCATGGCGACAGCATCTTTCTTCTCTTTCAGCTGGTTAGCCAGCTTCTCAATTTTCGCCATCGTAAATGACAAACAACCAATCTATCGCAATAAGATTGCTCAATATGTCCGGGTGTGTCGCAGTCGTGCAAGTATACACTCGCAACGGCTGCTAGCTCGGAACTGATGTTGCGCGCACACACACCACACACCCTCCTACCCGTGCGGTCCCTCCACCACCCATGTTCCAGGCAACCTCATACCCTTGAGGAGTGGGGGGAAGAGCAATGTGTGAGACAGAGAGAGAGGGGGGGGGGGGGAGAGGGAGAGTTAACGTGATTGTCGTTATAGACACTAGCGGGCATTGTATGTAAAATTGCGTTGGAATAAAGTTCTATCATTCCGACAGTACCTCTAGAAAGTAACTATCCCTCCAAGGTATCTCCATATAGTTCGAGCTCCACAACCCATCGATGCTAGGTAAACCTAAAATGTTACGGTAAGTAAGAATTGGTATTATTTGTTGCATTTTCCATGTCACGATCCGTATCGTAGACGAAACGTAACATCACAACTGTATCATGCGGTGATTGGGCTTTGTACTTGAATCCAAACAGCATTGAGGAATATCGGCCACAATATTACGTGATTGTTTTTTTTTTTGTCCTCCCTGATCGATGATCTCTATTTTTTCTTCAAACAAACGGAATTGTGTGGCCCTGAGAGGGCCGATTTCTAGTTTTGACGTTTATTTTCTTATATTATTATTATTTTAGGCATTTCTTCTTCTCTGTCTTTTTTCGGCATAGAACAGCCTGAAATATTCGGAGGAACTCCGCCTTGGGCGATAGTTACGCCGGAAAGTAACTTGTTTAATTCTTCATCATTCCTGATTGCTAACTGCAGATGACGTGGAATGATCCTGGTTTTTTTATTGTCGCGAGCAGCGTTGCCGGCCAACTCTAACACTTCGGCTGCCAAGTACTCCATAACGGCGGCAAGGTACACAGGAGCTCCGGCACCGACGCGTTCGGCATAGTTTCCTTTACGCAATAATCTGTGTATACGACCTACAGGGAATTGCAAACCGGCCCTACTAGACCTGGATTTTGCCTTTCCTTTCACTTTTCCGCCTTTTCCTCGTCCGGACATGTTTATTTGTTTATTATTTTCTTTTTTGACTTGCGAATCGACGACTACAATCTGCTGTCGTTGACCGAATTAATAGAATAGAATGGCAATGTCTTTAGGTACGAGTATATTTATATA